GGTCGAGAGCCATGCGTCCTCCAAAACACGACCCTGCCAAGCCGCACTGCTTCTTGACACACTGCTCGCTTAACCCAGTAATAATAACTGCCGACCGTGTCAGCGTGCATGCGCCCGGCCCGCCACAGGAGTCACTATAGCGCAATGGGACAAGGACATCCCGGCCGGCCAAACCCTCCCCTAGCCCAGACGACTCTGGGCCAATTGTGCGCCGCCTCATGGGTCTCCAGGTCGCGGCCAGCTGCGACACAGCCCAGGATGGAACCCGGGTCTGTAGTGATGCCTCAAGCACTGCGATGCAGTGCCTTAGACCGTTGCGCCACTCGGGAGGCCCCTAGCAAAATTCTTGCTTGAGAAATTACTCTTTAATAAGAAGCTATTTTTGTTTATTTTTGACCATTTGACCATCTCTGTGTCCAGCATGTAGGAAGTCATAGGTAGTTTTGTGAGCCAATCCTAACTAGCTTTAGCGCAATGACTGGAAGTCTATGGGGAATGAGTATCTACTAGCATGCTAGCAGATAGACTTCCAGTCATTGCGCTAATGCTAGTTAGCAATTACGCTAGCTCTAGTTAGCAACGTCCTTTAAACTGCATGCAGAGACATAAAAATGGTATCCACGAGTTCATCTGACGCTGGGGAAGTAGAAGTATCCCTTTAACCTTAATTTGCTCCAGGGGTGCTGTACTACTATGGCGGACCCTGTAAAACAACACATTTCACTACACCTATCTGGTGTGTGTTACTTTTTTTTTCTGTAACCTGACTATCAACCTTTAATCCAGTAACATGACATGAATCAATCAGTGACTGACGGCATCTAACAACCATTTGGAATACAAACAGAAACTAATAGTGAATACAGATAATCCTGGGATGAAGCACATGTAGAGCTAGTGGATGGTAGACTATACTGTTTAGGTGTGTTAACTTCATCCAGGGTGCAGATGAAGGCCATGACCTCTCAGGATCAGAGTAAGCACAGGCAGAATAGGTCACCATTGACCCCTTCCCATTAAATCCTATATGTTTTAAGGTTCTAGACAATGGAGTTAAAGCAGGTCAGTGGGGTTGTGCAAATGCTTATAGTTATCAAGAAAAGGATGTACCATGGACAGAGGAGAGTTGATACTGGGAATGCAAATAAGAAGAATCCCACCCATCCACTAAGTCAATTTACTATTGTTTTTGTAAAAACATTTTTCTTTTATAATCCACTCTGTAAATATGTCATATACTCCCTTAGCCTGCACTTATAAACTACTGGTTCTTCAATGATTCTGTTGTACTGCACCTTCGTAGAGGATATCCCTCCCTTGGCTTTTGAAAGATCCTACATTCTTACAGACACAACACTTAAAAGTCATTCACTGAGCAAAAATAGTTATGCTGTGGTTTAGGCATAATTATGAGATGGAGTAAGCAGCACACGGTCAGTCATAGGTGTCTTTACACCTACATTATATGGATTTAGACAATTGTATGCCTCTTGACAGGTTATGGGTGCACCCATTACTCACAGTCTGTTAATGATATAGCAACAATGAAGTGCATAGCTTCAGAAGAGAACATGCCAGTGAGGAATCTACAGTATTGTGTGTATGTAGAAAGGATTCAATACCAAGAGGACACAGGGTAACCAAGGCAAAAACATATTAGAGAATGCATGTATTGACATGATATTCCAGTCCTGGAGCTAACAAGTACGCACCTTTAATACCAATGAATGATCTAAACAAGCTAAATCATATCACCAGTCACCTTGGATTTACAGTGTCAACAGTAGGATTTGCATCCCTTTTGTCGACAGACAGAAATTTCCCTCTGCAATATGCCTGTCAAACAGAAATGAAGTCCTTCTCTCTCTAATAAAAAATGTGCACTGTATTTGGACGTTTTTTATTATTTTTGATGTTTTTTGGGGGGGGGTGTCAGGTACCTTTAACTCATCAACACTAAATTCACATAAATTCATAAACAGTTGGGTTAAACCAGGAGGAATTTGGCTCTGCTAAAGATGAAAGGAGATCTTTGAGTGTAAATTATGAGGGCTAATGGACCAGGCCTCTCAGGTGCCACATCACAGAATGCTTCTAGTGCCTCTATTGTGGCCCACATAGACCCCTGCAGGGATAATGACACCAAACACTGGTTATTAAGTGACCATTTGCTGCAAGCTATAGTGTGCATCTGAATAGTTATGAGTATTCTACAGATGCATTAAATTATGGAGAATGATATAGTTTGCCATATATGTAAAATGTTAAAAGTCGTTGTATATGTTCACCTTTCACCCCAAATGTCCACCACACGTATTTACAAGTGTGTCCTAGTAAATAAGAGTGATGAGCATCCTAATTTGAGCTGTGTGTAGCCACTAGACCGAACCCGAAACCCAGAGCGCGCGGTGAAGATCAGTGTAGGCAAGGAACATGTATCGCAACCGAATGTCTCCAAATCGCCTTCCGCATTACTGAAATCTAACCCGAGGACATCAGGAGAGTGACATAATCCTCAAGACATCCCAAAACGGCCACCCTGCAAATGGAGTGCCAGTGGTGGTTTAGAGATGTGTGTTGGAGTGGACTTCTGTTTCTACTTCTGTTTGGTCGTGCAGAGGTCGAGAAAAGAAGGGCGGACACTTCGAAAAGTCAGCGCGCTCTAAGCTATAAATCTATCCTAACCGCCCTCTGCGCCGGGTATTGTGTAATGCGCAGACAGCTGCACATCTGTACTGCCAGTGCCAGCCTGAAGAGCCCGCATGTGGACAGCCATCTCACTCCTCACGCGGACACCTTGGATATAATGGAGAATACACATCATTGCCCTAATTTTTTATTAGAATACCAAGTCTATTGTGGATATGAAAACATCGCGTAAATCTTCATGATCATACATGTGCTCTGGTGGATGTTACGAACGTTTTTATTACATCTTCTCTCATGAAAAAGGTCAAAAGTAACACCTAACGGTCTCGCTAAAGCCGTTTACTGTACGTTTCCCTGCACCACGGCTTTAGTGAACTGGTCCACTCCCTGCGTCGGAAAAGCCGATGTCTTCATTTGACTCCTTGCAGTTGGTAATGGTGGATCTTTCTCGGATTTCCAATGTGGAAACCAGCATCCAATTAGTTTGCGACTGAGCGCCTGGAGAGAGAGCGCAGCGGCACTTTGGCCAGCCAGTCACTACAACACTTAGCCTACCTGTGCGCAGACGCATGGTTGGCCGCTCTGTATACGAGAAGCCACTCATCAAGCGTTGTTGCATTAATTTTGAGGGGCATTTTTACTTTTTTAATTATTTTTTTTACATTGTAAATTTAATTCAACGCATCGGATGAACGGATAAAACTGTACTGTCTGAATATATCCTTTGGATACAACTAGGGCTCCTTCTGACGCACCACGGAACATTAAATGCATCGCTGTGTGTTGGGTTTTAATACTGATACCAATTGCAGGTCTGCAAGGGCCAGATTTAAGGTAAGCACATTACAATCACAGTTATTGGTTGTTCAGTATTATTGAGTAATTTAGATGCATGTGTGTAGGCTGTTTTATGTTATTGTATGCCTATAACATTGATATACTAATTGTGAGGCTATCAGACATTCTGAATGTCTAGCCTACAAAATACAAAAAAGCATTCATAAATTATTTTATTTGAAAGGACAAATGCATCAAACGTGTAAAAGATGGCAGTTTTCTAACAGTGTATACAATTTTGTTCGGTGTTATCTGCACAATTGGAAGCAATTTATTTAATGCATGAAGCCTATTAAAAAATTACACCCTATGGACAAACTTTAGCTTCAGACAATACTCAATTAACAAGAGTCCAGGTAAGAATGAATTGTCCAGGGATTCACCATCTGGCAAATTCCTGTGAACATTTGGGCTAGTGTAGCCTTTATGCTGGACAGTAGCCAATGCGCTATGCATAGCGCGTCCATGAACACATTTTGGAGTAAAGGCGCACCCTATGCCTGTGGCCGCGACCCATTTCAGTAACACGCACTCATGCATTCTCTCTGAAATAGGTATAGAATTAGTTGTAATCGAGGTGTTGTTTGGGACAGAATGGATATTCATGGAAATGAAGAAATATCTTGCCACAAAAACAATCATTAAACCATGATTGTGATTCTCAATATTTGTATCATGCAGAAGCTATGGAGGTCCCTAAAAGTAATAGGATAGTCAAGTATTACATTCATAGATTATATCTAGGTTATTTAAACCTAAATACCATGTGCTAACAGTTTATAGCTACATATAGTGTTTATAACCTTCTAGACATATTTGGCCTTTAAGTTGAAAAATATCAAATTTGCTACAATGTTAATAATGCTCTCTGAAGTTTGTTAATTTGGAACCCCAGTTAGCCAACAAAACATACAAATAACTACAGGTAACTGCCTAAATAAACACCAACATAAAGTGTCTTAATAGGGCATTGGGCCACCACAAGCCAGAACAGCTTCAATGCACCTTGACATAGATTTTACAAGTGTCTGGAACTCTATTGGAGACCTCAATTCTTCCATGAGAAATTCCATACTTTGGTGTTTTGTTGACCGTGGTGGAAGACGCTGTCTCAGGCGCCGCTCCAGAATCTCCCATAAGTGTTCAATTGGGTTGAGATCTGGTGACAGACGACCATGACATATGATTTACATTGTTTTTATGCTCATCAAACTATTCAGGGCCACTCATGCCCTGTGGATGGAGGCATTGTCATCCTATGGGGGCATAGCCATGGTAGCCAAAAGAATGGCCTGCCCAGCATTTTTATACATTTTATATGCTTGTAATATTGTCCAGTTTTCTCGCTATTGAAAAGATTACCAAACTAACCCCCTTTTGGCACTGTGTCTACAGCCTACACTTATATTCATAGTTCAATCCAATTTTGAAATGTTTGATTATTTTAAAGTTGGATCCAACTCACACACCCATCTCGTTTTCTTGCAGATTCCTTCATAGGAACTGAGTCTAAGATGAAGTTATGGGATGTTTTGGCCACGTGTTTGTTGCTCCTGAGCTCCGTCTCCACACGCCCCCTCTACCAAAACATTCAGCCAGCCAAAAGAACTCACTACTTGGATTGGCATAGTGATTCTCTGTCCCTGTCTGTGGAGGAACCAGAGCCAGAGTTCCATTCGGAGTCTCACAGCCTGCAAGAGATTTCCATGGAGGATAAATGTAAGTCAAGACTCTGATACATTGTTTTATCACCTGCTGAAGTGTCAAAGATACATTCTTCTGCATAAGATCAGACCATCTTCTAGAAAATTATTATTTCTTATCGAAGACTAATAAAGTTGCTTGATGAGAATCTGTTGCAAAACCGTAGCATTAATGTGACTGCAGTCCTCAGTACTCAACTGGTTCTCAGTTCCTTGAAGTGAATATGGGTTTAAAGAGGGTGACACACCATACATTAAACACGCGCTCTGAAAAAAATGCACATTCAACATACCATGTATTGTTTGGTACTCAGTGTGTTCAAAGGCCTGATTACCAAAACAAACGTGCTATACTCAGTCCAAACAGAGAGGATACATATCTGTTGATGTGATGGCCATAGGTTGCCATGTGTTCCGTATTGCACCCAGGAGTGCTCCCCTGGTAAGAACAGGCTCTCTGGGGTTACACTTGGTTTTTGGTGGGTTAAAGTCTTGCAAGCTACTGCCTTTTGCTATGAACCACATTGTTGCAACTAGCAAGGCAAGCTTATCCCAAATAACGGGACAGCAGTCAATGTAATTGAGGCCTGATAGTGTGAAGTGCCCTTGAACAGAGGCGCCCATCGGGCCAGACCAGTCATTGATGAATCCTGCTCAGTGCCTGCTTCAGAGAAGGAGCAGTAGTTTGTCTAACAGCAGGTTTGAACAGCTTTCTCTGCTGCTGTGGGCAGCATCACGCTGGTGTCAAAACATCCATGCGGCAGAAGGAGCAAGAAATAGTGACTGCAGCTCCTCAGTCCAAAACACAGGAGGTTAGCGCTGACATTCCTCCTGCCTTGTTTATCTTCAACCCTGCCTCTCTGGGACTGCAGGATATGTGCCCTCTCCCTGTCAGGAAAACAAAGCACGTTTCCCACCCTAACCAAGTTAAAGTAGAGAAACCTCAAAACAGATGCTGATCACAGGAGAAAGAATGGACAATATGGCAGAGTCAGAACCAACAAAGGAACGCTCAATATTGTGTTTAAGCTCATTTTAGCAGCTGCGAGGGTGAGGAATTCCATTTGTTTAAAAAGAGCATGAACCTGTCTTGTCTTTACACAGTATAAGCTGTAGATGAGACATGGAACATTTAGACCAGAGAAATGTTTTGCCCTCACCTCATATTCAGTTAGCAGCGGTGAGTGACATCACCTCGGCCTGTTCTGTAACTTAAAACCATTAACAATGCACCAAGGTGTAAACAACCCTGGACTCAATGGGAGGTTTTGGCCTTTTGTTTCAGTTGCGATGTCTGTGGTAAGCGATTAATCTTGTAACCGTTTCAAGTAACCTTTGGAGGCAAGTGTCTCTGCAGCTGATCCACTGCCTCTAGAGATACTTGTGTCTGTAGGACAGAAAATGTGTACAAGGCTTCTGGTGCATGCTCCACTAGGCTAGACAAGTTTTTAATAGTAAAAAATATTTTGGTCCCTGTCGGATCCTTGTCAGGACTTCACTTTGGTCTCAGTGAAGCTTTACACTGGCAGGTGTCATAGCTGATCTCTAAATCATAACAAACATGATTCTGGAGAACGTTTGAAATAGGTGCATGGGAGACCCAGGTGTTTCTGTGTTTTGGGCTGTTTTGCTGCAGAACACTTCACCTGTCTGTCAGCTGGCATAGAATAGGACCTACCCCTGTCTGTCTGCTCTATAGTCTATCAGCTGATAGCCACACAATAGGTGGTGCCTAAATCAAAAGGGCACAGGGTGTCTAAACAGATTGGCCCCTGGCTCACCCGATACGGTCGCGACTGCCCAATCAGCTGTGGAGCTGGGTGGATCAGATTACCTGTACCCTGGCAGTGGGACAGGTGAAACCCACCACCATAGAGAGGCTGGGTTACTGACACCTCCACCTGCCAGACAGACACACTACACAACCTCTCTGGCTGCCCTGTGCCCACCACATACAGGCCAGTCAACGGAGGCCTGGAGTAATCATGTCAAGGCCAGTTTACCCCCTCTACTAACCTCACCTCCACCGACCGAATACACAGACGCACAAAACTTACACGCATACACATTAAAACATAATAAAAACATCATACACCTGATTGCTGTTGGGTAACAGTGTCATACTAATTGAGTCATTTAGCAATAATGTTTTCTGTGATCTTCTGAGTGGGTTGCCAGACGTTTATGCGCTGTGGAGCAGGAGGGAGTTTACACTATAATAGAATCAACATGTATTACTTAAGGATCAAAGGGCTCTCTGGGTCTGTTTTTGTCCCCTCTGCAGAGGGCGGAGGGCTCCCTGCATGTTCTGAATTTGAAGCAGAATAGGTACTCTGAGAGATGAAATCTGCTCTAACTCAATGTCACAATCCGTATGATTCCCTTCTAGAGGTGCTTAATGCTCAGATTCAATGTTTTAAAAGGGAAAGAGAAGGCTGTCCATTCCAAGACGTATAACTAAGATCAGTCATTATTTGGAGAGTTGGGCCGATGCGGTTTCTGTCTGAATGTTCTGAGAGCGCCACTTTCTCCTCCATAGCTGTTGCTAAGTGATAATTGATGCTTCCGCGTTGTACTGTTTATCTCTGATAGTTTCAAAACCTATGAAGATGTCCAGTGAAAGCAGATATGCAATTTGTTGACACCACAACACAGTACAGACAATGTGACATTGTCCCGAATGCCAATCAATAAAAACGTATGTTAAATTCGCAGCTCTGTTTTGCTTGTTTACAGCAGGTTATTTTATAGGGAATTGTCGGAGGCGAGAATAAAACCTGTGTTGACAGTGCCATACAGAAGATTGTTTGAGTCTTTCTCAGTAATCTTAGGCAGAGCCAATTATTGAAGCGTTGCTACTTTGTCATGGGGATACTCAATATTGATTTAACATTCAAATTGTTGCCATTACTATTTTTACTTCTATTGTTTATTACGACTCTATATGTTATTGTCACTTTATTGCATTCCATTTACTATTGCATTATCAGTCATTTCCTCTTTGCTTCCTCTCTCTCTTAAAGATGACATCACAGGCCCATATCCGGACCAGTTTGATGATGTAATGGATTTTATCAAAGCTACCATTGGCAGACTGAGGAGATCATCTGAGCCTAACGGCGGCTCAAGGGGTAGGAGGGAGCAGAGAGAGCAGGAGAGACAGAGAGGAGCAGCAAACACAGACCGCAGAGGAGGAGTGAGAGGAGAGGGGAGAGGAGGACGCGGGGAGAAGAAGGGTCGGGGGCGAGGTGGCAAAGGGAGGAGCAGTGAAAGAGGGGAGCAGCGGATGAAGCCGGTTGGAGGCCGAGGCTGCTTGCTAAAAGAGGTCCATCTCAATGTGACAGACTTAGGGTTGGGCTACCGGACCAAAGAGGAACTGATCTTCCGGTACTGCAGCGGCCCCTGTTCAGACGCAGAGACAAACTATGACAAAATCCTCAACAACCTCACCCACAACAAGAAGCTGGTCAAGGACACACCCTCCCGCACCTGCTGTCGACCAATCACCTTTGACGATGATCTGTCCTTCCTGGATGACAACAACGAGGACTACCACATTCTGCGGAAGCATTCCGCCCGCAAATGTGGCTGTGTCTGACTCTGGGAGAGACAAATGAGAGAGAGCGAGAAAGGCTGACAGACAGACATGAGAAGGAGCAGTAACATAAAGCCACTCAGAGGCTGGTACTGCCTCTTGGAGGGAAGGAACACAGTGAATAAGAAGGGAACATGAGACGGATACACTCCACTCCAGTGGTGTCTTAGGACCCATGGCCAGAGTTAGCATGTCCTGTGTCCTACTCCTGAGAGGCTGCAGTGGGGTGAACAGGGATGGTGTGATCCCCAAACCTCCAGTAATTAGGCTGATTCAGAGCCCAGATCAGGTCACATTGGAGAAGGGACTCCTCTATGCTATAATTACATAGAATTGTCATTACATAGAAATTCAGCCTAACGGTCTATAAAAGAGACGTTGTCAATTCAGCTCAGTATTCACTTCATGATTGGATCACGTTCTTGGACGCCTACAGGGGCATACGGTCTCACTTACCTGTGGAACCATGCTGTTACACTCACAGGCTTACCTGCAATGGAGCTGCTGAAACTAAATCAGACTAAGAGGATTTCAGGATATTGTATGCCGTTCCTCAAAAATGTCAGTTTTTCGCGGGGAGCATCTTTTTTCCCAGGAACGTCCGTTTTTCCGTAGTCAGATCATGAGGCTTACAGTGAGAACAGAACTCTTCCTGATGAGTATTTCCAGCTGCAGTCCAGAGTGTTCTGGTTTCACTGCACAGACTGGAGCTTAACGTTTACATTTCAAATGTACCAGGGAACCTGTTGACTGGTTTAGTCCTACAGCAAAGAGACAGATTGTCTGGTACGACACATCAATGTAAAATCCAAGATATTTAGAATTTATATATATATATTTATATTTATATATATATATATATACATACATACATACATACATACATACATACATACATACATACATACATACATACATACATACATACATACATACATACATACATACATACATACATACATACATACATACATACATACATACATACATACATACATACATACATACATACATACATACTGTATTTATTAAGATTGAATTAACTTATTGTTATTTATTGCAGTCCATTTTATGAAAGAAATGTTTTTCTTATTTATTTGAGCTCTGGTTTGTCCCGGATGGTACCAAAGTGGAGCATGTGTTTTTTAAGTGGAATCAGATTGCTGAAACAACCGGATTCAAGGTGCAACCATAACTAATCAAACTCATCCTTCAGTTTCAAAATGCTGTACAGTTTATATCTGTAATCCATGGTAGTTAATCCTAAACCCACTGCCGATTCCAAAACATCATAGATTTATGAGAATAACAGAAGGTATCGATTTAGGGAGGGTGCGCAGAAAGAAAGAGACAGGGTGGAGCGGACCAATTTCAACCTTTTTCAAAATGTAAACATCTTATCTCTGCTTTCGATCATTTTGAATGATGCCAGGTTTGAGCGTCTTTGACAGTGTTCTTCATTTGTCACTAATGGAAAGCAGAGAGGGCCGAGCGGCCTGGGACATTCGGGGCGGAGGGCCTTGGAGACACCAGTCAGCTGCTCCTCACTCTAACAAAGTAGAGGGGTAAACAGACTGACAAAATCATGGCATGCCATTATCGGTTTACAAAGGAACATGCAAACACTGTTTATGTTCTAGACATAATAAAGTCGTACTGCCAGTGGTTATCCCGGAGAGCTGTGTAGCTTTCTATACAATGATACTCTCCACATTAATTCAAGACATCCTCTTTTTTAAAGACAGAATAACAAAATGACCTCATTGCTAGAGTTGGTGCAGGACAGGTTGGATATGAACAGCCTTCAGGCCCACTGCTTACAATTCATTTGCTTTCTCTATCACACCTTTTTGAAAGTAATGTGTTACTGAACGCTTTACAAAATACTACAAAAAAGCTAGCCAGGAGCGATGGTAGCACAGAAAATCTCTGCTATCATAGAAGCAGTCAGTACAAACCTTGAGACTAGACTGTGGAAAAGGGATCCACTGTCCTTTGGCCATCACAGTGCATAAGTTGATGGTATGCATGTACACTTGGCTGCCAGGATCTGTTACCCTCAACCCTTCAGCCTGGTCCTGGCTCTACACCAAGTCTGGGCAAAGGCTTCGTAGTGGTTACTGTCCCAGTAGGCTTTAGCGTTCTTAGGAGTGTCTCTGTGGTCTCTGCTTTGACAGACACACAGGTTTTTCTCACTGATCTGGGGTTAGTTTGAAAACGATCCTCTAACATGCAGCTTAGCCCACTACTCCCACTGGAACCCCAGTGTTTAAGACCATTTAAGGGAGATCTTGGCTCTGTCTCTCTTGGCCAAGCCGACATAGACTCACCTACATATTTATTTGGACAGTGAAGCTAAAACTTTTAATTTGGGCCTATACTCCAGCATTTTGGATTTGAGATCAAATGTTTCATATGAGGTGACAGTACAGAATGTCACCTTTTATTTGAGGGTATTTTCATACATAAGTTTTACCATTTAGAAATTAAAGCACTTTATGTATCTAGTCCCCCCATTTGAAGGTGTCATAAGTATTTAAGTGTATTAAAGTAGTCAAAAGTTTAATATTTCATTTCTAAACGGTAAAACAGATATGTACCCCTCCCCAAAGAAAAAGAATAAAGAAAAAAAATATTGTAAAGTGGTTATCCCACTGGCTATAAGGTGAATGCACCAATTTGTAAGTCGCTCTGGATAAGAGCGTCTGCTAAATGACGTAAATGTAAATGTATGAATATACCCTCAAATAAAAGGTGACATATGAAACATTTGATCTCAAATCCAAAATGCTGGAGTATAGGGCCAAATGTACAGATTTTAGCTTCACTGACAAAATGAATACATAAGGAAGTGTACGTCTTAAGACCAGACAGTACAACAAAGAGAGACAGACAGTGTTTGTGACATCACTGAAGGGGAGAGAGGGGAGCACTGGGTAACCAGGCACTCAGTGTTAGCACTATACAGCATACAATATACAGTGAGGGAAAAAAGGTATTTGATCCCCTGCTGATTTTGTACGTTTGCCCACTGACAAAGAAATGATCAGTCTATAATTTTAATGGTAGGGTTATTTGAACAGTGAGAGACAGAATAACAACAAAAAAATCCAGAAAAAGCGCATGTCAAAAATGTTATAAATTGATTTGCATTTTAATGAGGGAAATAAGTATTTGACCCCCTCTCAATCAGAAAGATTTCTGGCTCCCAGGTGTCTTCTATACAGGTAACGAGCTGAGATTAGGAGCACACTCTTAAAGGGAGTGCTCCTAATCTCAGCTTGTTACCTGTATAAAAGACACCTGTCCACAGAAGCAATCAATCAATCAGATTCCAAACTCTCCACCATGTCCAAGACCAAAGAGCTCTCCAAGGATGTCAGGGACAAGATTGTAGAACTACACAAGGCTGGAATGGGCTACAAGACCATCGCCAAGCAGCTTGGTGAGAAGGTGACAACAGTTGGTGCGATTATTCGCAAATGGAAGAAACACAAAATAACTGTAAATCTCCCTCGGCCTGGGGCTCCATGCAAGATCTCACCTCGTGGAGTTGCAATGATCATGAGAACGGTGAGGAATCAACCCAGAACTACACGGGAGGATCTTGTCAATGATATCAAGGCAGGTGGGACCATAGTCACCAAGAAAACAATTGGTAACACACTACGCCGTGAAGGACTGAAATCCTGCAGCGCCCGCAAGGTCCCCCTGCTCAAGAAAGCACATATTCATGCCCGTCTGAAGTTTGCCAATGAACATCTGAATGATTCAGAGGAGAACTGGGTGAAAGTGTTGTGGTCAGATGAGAACAAAATGGAGCTCTTAGGCAGCATTCCTCCTCCTCCAAACACGGCGAGTTGAGTTGATGCCAATGACCCCAAGAACACCATCCCCACCGTCAAACATGGAGGTGGAAACATTATGCTTTGGGGGTGTTTTTCTGCTAAGGGGACAGGACAACTTCACCGCATCAAAGGGACGATGGACGGGGCCATGTACCGTCAAATCTTGGGTGAGAACCTCCTTCCCTCAGCCAGGGCATTGAAAATGGGTTGTGGATGGGTATTCCAGCATGACAATGACCCAAAACACACGGCCAAGGCAACAAAGGAGTGGCTCAAGAAGAAGCACATTAAGGTCCTGGAGTGGCCTAGCCAGTCTCCAGACCTTAATCCCATAGAAAATCTGTGGAGGGAGCTGAAGGTTCGAGTTGCCAAACGTCAGCCTCGAAACCTTAATGACTTGGAGAAGATCTGCAAAGAGGAGTGGGACAAAATCCCTCCTGAGATGTGTGCAAACCTGGTGGCCAACTACAAGAAACATCTGACCTCAGTGATTGCCACCAAGGGTTTTGCCACCAAGTACTAAGTCATGTTTTGCAGAGGGGTCAAATACTTATTTCCCTCATTGAAATGCAAATCAATTCATAAAATTTTTGACATGCGCTTTTCTGGATTTTTTTGTTGTTATTCTGTCTCTCACTGTTCAAATAAACCTACCATTAAAATTATAGACTGATCATTTATTTGTCAGTGGGCAAACGTACAAAATCAGCAGGGGATCAAATACTTTTTTCCCTCACTGTACACTCACCCAAAACAACTACTAAAACAGAAAGGAGCACTAACAGAGGAATCGTTAAAATCAGATTACTACTTTGCCTTTCTCCCATGCTCATAGAGAGGAGCTTCTGATGGAAACAGAGAGAGAGAGAGAGCGCCCCAGGACTTGATGAAGGGCATGGATTATGGACCAGAGTATCTGTGTTCACCCAACTACAACCAAGCCAGCTTTAGTCCCATAATCCACCCTGCACACAGAACAAATCCACAGCATCAAGCTGAAATTTAGGCCAAATACTGTCAGAGAATAATCAACCATTTTATCACAGCACACTTTTAGCATTTGGATCATCGTCCCCTTTAATAACAGATTTCTGTGTAAGCCTTCTGGAGACTTCCTAGCAGCATCTTCAGCCCTTACCCTTACATACGTTATTT